CGTCTTCCCGATAGCTACGTTTAGTCATTCTTGAGTACCTACTGTTATGGTTCAGTCAGCGAGAAGTAAGAGACCATCCAGACTCAGTCAAATTTACTGGAGTTTTATTGATAAAGCCAGCAGCATACAGGGAGTCTCGTGTCTCTCAAAATCCCCGCAGCCTCGAGTGTAGGGAGAAGGGTACTTACAAAGGCAAAAATCACATTCTTTTCCAGGTTGACGTGGCAATCATAGAACCAAGATCAGTGGTCTTGAAAGAGTAGGGGGTAGGGGCTTACAATGTAAAAGCAAAGGCGAATTATAGAAGCAAAACAAGCAGGTTAATCATTCTTAAGGATATGTTCCATTCCTACCTAAACACAATGGAATCTTAATGGTTTTCATGGGTCAGGACAAGGGGTCTGGCGACGAATGATTACATCACTAAGGAACATCTTAGGGTAGAGGAGTTCAAAATGGAGGTCTACTTCACTACTATATACCAGAAACTGAGTACCACACAAGAGAAATAGAAGTGAAATGAACCTTGGCCCACATGGAGTTTAAACTCCAGAGGGGAGACATTGAAGACTTAATTACAAATGAGTCTTCCACTATTTCCTCAGCCTCGCCACCCATTCTTCTACCTCAGGATCTTTGCACTTCATTCTTCCTGTATCTGGAATACTCTTTCTCTAAATATCCACAAACCTCACTTGCTCATCTCCTTCAGCTCTTTGCCCTAATATGATCTTCAAAATGAGGTCCCCTGACCTCTTAAAACTGCAGCTGACACACCCTGCCCTCATACCTTCAGTCTGTCTGCTTTTCCCTTCTTTATTCTCCTCCATCACACCTATTATCATCTGCTGTCCTAGCCCTAAGCTGTCTAATACTGTGGTCACAAGGAACAAATGAAATGTGCTGTAAGTGTAGAATACATCCCAGATCCAAAGATTTAATATAAGAAAGAAGGTGAGGGACCAGCAGATGGCGTAATGATTACATAACTGGACTCCCACATGATTGACTGTGATTTGAGTCCTGAACCCAGCTTAAACTCACGCTGGACACATGTGCATGTATGCCCAAAATCCCAAGAGGAGAACGGAAGAGAAGGGATTGCAGCATGGCCATTCCCCCGGGAGTGATTTCTCACTTTCTGTTTGTCTCTTTCTGTCTCTCCAATGCACCCTATAGCAAATATTTTTCTCTAAAAAAATAAAAAAGAAGAAGAAAAAGGTTAACTATCTCATTAATACTTGTTTATATTGATTATATGTTGAAATTATATTTTGCATGTGTTACATTGAAATATAATAATTATAATAATTAATTTTATAATAAATATAATGATTAATTTTACCTGTTTGTGCTTTTTTTAACATGGCTACTAGAAAATTTTAAATTATATTCATGACTTGCATTATATTTTGAGTGAATAGTGTTATACTAGACAGTAAAGAAATAAATCATGTATACTGGAACTATACTAGACAGTAAAGAAAGAAATCATATTATATATGTGTGCATGTATACGTACATGCTCATAAACCATTAGTCTATAAGGTTGTGAGGGCAGGGATTTTCATGTATATTGTTCACTACTAAGCCTCTAACACCTACAATAATGTTCAGCACAGGCTTTGAATAAATATATGTTGAGTGAATGGGCTCAGGGTTACAAACGAAATTCTTAGACTCTTACAAATAGTGTTTTTCTTCATACATTTTTCCAGTAAAAGGGTGAGCAGGTGTTGTCTGTGCTAGGACCAGGGCGTTCAGAGAGAAGAGTCTCTAACCCAGAGCTGAATTCATAGATGGCCTCAGGCTCCTTTGTGACTCCTGCTGTCCAGATCAGATCTCCGTGGGAACTGATGGAGTCGCTTTGCTCTTGATCAAAAACAACTTTATAAACATGGGATAAGTTCTCAGAGAAAATAAACTCTCAGACATAAAGAAATATTTTATGTCCAGCCAAAAGAACAGAAAAACACTCCTTGGCAGTGAATTGTCGCACATAAGTTGAATTTGCCTTTATCAAACTAAAAAAGGAAGGCTGAAGCAAATAATACAAAACAATTTATTAATGCCAGGGTTAGGATGATTGCATGGGCACTACAAAATCCATGTTACTTGAATAATGTGTGCCAAAGTCTTAGAAATTTCTGAATGACTTTTAAAAGCCAAGGTTGCAAATAGGAGTGGAGAGTAACAAGGAGTCTTGTTACAACAGCGATTGGTTACGTTCCATTATAAAGGCAGCAGGATGGCCTCATGATCGCCTGGAGTCACTGAGCTTAATTATAGGCAGAATGTGAAGACAGTGAGTCTAGAATGTAACAGAAGAATAGACTTGAGTACTAAGGAGATTCATAAAACAAAAACGTCTAGGGAATTCAGGTAACATCTTGAGCTGTTTCAGGTGCACATTCCTAAGAAAGCCACGGATATGCAGTTTTATGTCTTTGAAGTGCTGGCTCAGACACACTGGAATCTCCTGTTGTCAGGGAAAGGAAGGGCATGGTCTATTTTGGGATCTATCAGCTTTCCTAAAGTTTAGGATATGACATTTTAGCCTGAGTGGCTCCATTTTGGTCTGGCCTGTTGGGCCTAGAGCAGAAGCTTGGTCCCAAATTACAGCCTCCTGTCATTTTTATTTCACACCTTGTGAAGCACAGAGTTGCCCTGACAGATCCTGCTGTTCCACTTTCATTTTATCATTACCCTGGTTGGATACACTACCTTCACTGGGTAACCTTCACTGGGTATTATTTCACCCAAGGTTAAAGTATGATAGAGATTTCCTATTTTCCAGTACAATATGACCCTTTATAACTCAAGGAGTCCATACCTATAATGACCACTAACACAGCTATGTCTTAAAGAGAATCCTGAAGCACAATCAACTAGCCTTTCCACGTGTGGTATGCCATTATAGAAGGGCTGCAGTCTTTCTTATAGGGTCCCCACTGACTTCCTTCTGTGCTCACAAACTCCACAGTGACTGCTAAAGAAGACATATCCTGCTCCTGATGGCTGGGCCCTAGCTAGGGCTGCCAGCTAAAGTGACGTCTGTGCAGTTTCAGTTGTAGTTCTGGTAGTTACCGAAGGCATTCCTCTGTCCATCCAGGGTTGTGGATGGAGGACGGGGAGAATGGGGTATCCTGTTCTCTGTAATGAGTCCAGAACTCCTGGAGTTGTGGGCTGGTGTTTCAGTACCAGTAGGGAACTGCTGATGTGATTGATTTCACTATAATAGAGCCTTTGGAGCCTAACCGATTTAGGTTAAAGTCCCAACTCCACCACCTAACCATTGAGTGGTTTAAGGGGATTTCTTTTACTCTGACCCTATTAACTGTGTGTTTCTGATGTTTTGATATCTGTGGACTTGCTGGCCCTGAAGGGCTCTCCTTCCCAGAGCTAGCTAATTTCTAGGCATAGTAACAATTCTTTTTTTTTTTTTTTTTTGGAGAGATTTTCACTGTAGGGCGCGTGCGCTCGCCAGACAGACAGAGAGAGACATAGAGACAGAAAGCGAGAAATCACCCCCCAGGGGGGATGGTCACGCCGCAATCCCTTCTCCTCCATTCTCCTCTCAGGATCTTGGGCACGCACACACACGCGCCCGGCGTGAGTTTTAAGCCACCGGGTCCGGGACACGAACCGCGGTCGACTACATGGGAATCCAGCGACATAGCCATTACGCTAACTGCTGGTTCCCTAGGCATAGTAACAATTCTGACCCATGTTTTTTCCCTTGCTCTTGCTGCCTCCTGTCCATTGGTAGAGCTTCCCCATGCAACTCTGCATGAGCTGTGTACCTCCTTCTCTTGGAAACTATGATGAACAAACTATCTTTTCTGTTTTTTTATATTCAATCACTGTGTATCATTACAGCATACAGAATAGCAATTGTGCCCTTATATATGTTAGCATATGTAAGGCATACCTTATATGACATACCAGAAGAATAATGAAATGTAATATTTTAAAACACCTTCAATCTGCTATCTGGAAAACAGAGTCTGTAACACCCGCCTTACTAAAGTGTATGTGGATCAGTCATACTTTTTAAAAATGTCTAGCCTGGAGCTTTATATACAATAAATACTTAACAAATAGTCAATACTATAAACAGGACACATGTTTTTATTTGAGACAAAGTTATTCTTTTAAAGATTTCAGAATTCCAAGATCAGAGTTCGAATGGTAGATGCTTAGTTTATGCTTTTCCAACTCTTTGATTGCAGAACCCAACTGTAAAAGATTTAATTGGCTTTGGTCTTCAAGTAGCCCAAGGCATGAAATACCTTGCAAGCAAAAATTTTGTCCACAGAGACTTGGCTGCAAGAAACTGTATGTAAGTATTAGATTCTCTGCACCCACAGTCCAGATTAAGTGACAAGGAAGAATTTGTTTCCCACTGTTCAAGCTAGTGAGGATGTTTTCTCTTCTTGTGCAGAAGTTCTTTATTTTCGTTACAGTTTTAAATTGATGTGTAAGCCTTGGGGAAGTGGGCGGGGCTTTTAGGCTTTATCAGAGACTTAAAAAGGAATTCTTCCTAGGGGGCCTTATACAGCTGTTGTGTACTTTTGCTTTTCTTGGTCCTTCCCACCAGCAGCCCCCCAATGTTGTGGTTTCACACTGCGTTAGTGTTTAGGGAGGGAGAATTTGATCTTCAGCATTTTACAGTGAAAAGGAGAGGGCTGGTAATACAAATACCAAGCTATTGTAACTTCCCAAGAGTGGATTTGAAGCCTGCCTGCAGAAAACCTCTCCCAAAAAAAAAGAAGAGAAACAAAAAAAGAAAAGAAAAGAAAAAAAAGAAACCCTGCCAAAAATGGTATTTGGAAATGAATATACAAAGAACTTTATTTGTGTCCGGCTGCCTGACTGTGTAACACAACAGTCAACAATTTGTAATTGATTCAGTGCGTTCCCTTACACAGCACTGATTCATGACTTATGGTATGTGTGAATGAAAGAACTGTGCTGTTAATTTCCTACCTAGGATTTGGTGAATGTAACAACACAAAAGCCAGCTTAAACAAAGGATGCATAGCCCCAAGCCCCCAGCAGAAACTGATTTTTGCTGAACCATGCTGGATTGTTTTTCAAGTTTATTTTTTTCTTCCATAAAAGAGAGAGCCCCTCAACAGGGTCTTCACACCACCATCCAGCCCAGCCTCAACCAGCCTGGATCACAAGCATGCTCATGTGCCCAGCATGTAGAGGGAGAACTCACGGCATGAACTCAGGACCTTAACATGTGGTCCAGCATCATAGAGTGTTGAGTCACTACAGCCCCAACATCTGGACCCAGAACCTTGCTGTTTTATTTAGATACTTTACTGTGTATCTTGTTTCTCCTTAACCTTAGTATAGGGGTAAATGAGTTTTATGTACTGCCTTAACTCATTTGAAAATGAAAAGTTAAAGTAATAATACCCTGTCATGTCTGTCCCATAAAACTGAGTATTGCTAATAAGCTGACAAGTGAAGATTGGCGATGGCTTGGGTAGTCAGTTGGCATACTCTATTTAGCAACCAAGGAAAGCTGGGAGGGGAGCCAGCTTTATTACTTCTCCAGATCTGCATTAAAGCAAAAGGATTTCCTTATGCCATATTATTCATGATTTCTTTCCTTGGGCCTGTTGAATTCGTAATGTAAATGTCAAGCATTTTTATTCAAAAGTCCTGTTGTAATTTAGCGTTAGTCAATAGAGGCCGGATGAAGCACTCCCTTTAGAAATTATGGATTTCTACCGAAGCCCTTGTTCTAATCTATAGATATTCAGCATCATTGTAAATTATTCTATTCCAGCTGCCAGTAATAATTTTTGTCCTTTCCACAGGCTGGATGAAAAATTTACCGTCAAGGTTGCTGATTTTGGTCTCGCCAGAGATATGTATGATAAAGAATACTATAGTGTACACAACAAAACAGGTGCAAAACTGCCAGTGAAGTGGATGGCTTTGGAAAGTCTGCAAACTCAGAAGTTCACCACCAAGTCAGATGTGGTAATGTATTGACCACCCCCTGACTTTCTCCTTTTTTACTTTTACATTTTTTATATGTAAATGTGGAGTTGATTGTCTCATAGGTGCCCATAATCTATTCTCATAAATTTTCTATCCAAAAACATTTGTGGAGCGGACATCAGGCTGGCTTCTCAGGAATCCCAGCACTGAATAAAGGTCAAACCCTTCTTCCAGGAGCTTTGGATCAGCCAGGAAGAGAAGACACATGGCTTTAATGATTGTGATACAAAGTGGACAGGAATTAGATCTGCCTTTTATAGCTAAGGGCAGCAAGAATTCCACCTGGAGAAACTAGAAGCTGTATCTAAAGCAGGTCTAGCAGTGAGGACATTATCCTCTCACCTAGCTGGAAAAGTGTGTTCTACTATCTGCAAGGGCTGTCCGCCTGTCACAGAACAATTTTCCAAAGGCAAGGAGCTAAGCAATGAGGATGGGAGAGATACTAACTCGGACAGCCGGCTTCACTACCTTATACCTTATCAAGGAGGAGCTTGAAATGAACTTTAAAGGTAGCAGGTTTGTCACTGGGCAGCTGAGTGAATGGAAATATCAGTCTAAGTGGGCAAAGGGGTGGGGAAGTATATGCATTGGCAAGAACAGAAGGCACAGAGGGGAGTTATAAGAAGAAGTTAAGAAAAATATATTTATACTAGATCATAGAGGTCCTTAAAAACCAAAGTAGAGAGTCTAAAATTTATTCTCTGACCATGTGGAAACATAAAAATATGATCAGATTAGATCACAATCCTTCTTCATTCTGTAAAACGACTTGAGAGAGTGGAGGCAGGAGAATGAAGTGAGAGATAGAACCTGAATAAAACAGAAACTATGAGAATGGAAAGAAAGAAGTAGAAGGAAAAGCACCTCAGGGGTAGAATCAACACTACTTAGCAAGAAATGATTAAAGTAAAAGATTAGTAAAATTATATGCTGGTGCAATAACAAGTATTTGAAGTCTAGAAGCAAAAACCAAGGAGAAGGGAAAATAACAAGTTGAGCCTTGAGCACACTGAGTTTGACCTGGGAGAAGGACATCCAGGGTCCTATGAGAACTTGGAAATGAGGACCTTGAGCTTGTAAAAAGGTTTTTTGTTTTTTAAATTTGGGCTGCCATAACAAAATACTATAGACTGAATGGCTTAAAAGATAGACATTTATTTCTAACAGTTCTAGGGACTAGAAGGCCAAGATTAGGGTGCCAGCATGGTCAGGTTCTGGTGAGGGCTGTCTTCCTTGGTGACAGATGATTACCTTCTCATTATGTCTTCCTATGGCTGAGAGAGAACAAAAGAATGTTCTCCAATGTTTCTTTTTATATGAACACCAATGCCATCATGAGGCCTCACCCTCGGGATTTTATCTTAAACTAATTCCTTTTTAATGGCCATATCTCCACATGCCATCATCTTCAGGGGTAGGGCTTCAACATATAAATTTATGAGGGGTACAATTCAGCCCACAGCAGAGGTAAAGGCTGGAAGTGTGTTTTGGGGAATCCAAAGGCAATTATTTAAGAGAATCTATGTGACATGTGGAAGAAGAACAGAGAAGTTGGAAACCCAAGAGACTATCATAAATGCCAGAGGAAGAGAAAGTTTCAAGAAAAACTAGAATAGTCAGCAGAGTAAACTAGCTACCACATTAGAAGAGTCTTGGAAGTGGAGTAATTTGAGTGATTTCAGTGGTCTAGAGTGTACGGAGAGGACAGATGTTGAGTGGAATGGAAGATGTACTTACTCTAGTAGTATATAATAACAGGAGGACGATGCTGTCTGGAGGTAGAGAAACATTGATGTTTCAGTCCTGGAGGATAACAACTGAAAAGGGAAAAAGCACAAATTCATAATAGCAGCAAGTAAAGTGGGCAGCAAACAGTGTTCGTGGAAGGCATGGACTTGCAAAGAGACTGGGTTGTCAGCTACTGAAAGATGACTCGGGGCAGGGATCTCAGTGCATTATTGGGAAGCAAGATGTCATTGTACCCTTTTCCTTTGTGAGTCAGTGAGTGAGAAGGTGGTGGCCTTGTTGACAAGAATTTCAAAGAAATCATGGCCTACAAGTTTCTAAAAGCTGAACTTCAGCTCCTGTGACTAAGTAGAGAAAACAGTAGTGAATAAATTGAGGGTGACTGGGATTTTGTTTTCAGTAAATAAAAGTATAACAGAATGTGGTGGAGAAATGATGTGCAGGGTGCATAAGATTGATAAGACAAATTGATAGTACATGGCAGAGCTTCATGTCTGGGATTCTGATCTTAAAGGATTCTAAAAGAGATCAAAGAAGTAGACGCTAGGGAGAAAGGCTGAGGAGATGTTAATGATGGTGGCAGATGAAGGCAAATGAAGATGAAGGTAGGGAGAATTAATGCATCATCACATAACTTACTCTTCATTCACACTTGACTCTTAAACCTACTGTTAAGAGCCAGAGACAACTCTTCCACCTCAATAATTAGAAAAAGTAACCCAGGACAACTGTGGCCTTGTGGTTAAGGAGGCCAGATTTCACACAGCCAACAACATGGTTCGAATCTTGGATCCAGTAGCTTGAAAAATACACTGGGTACATGTAAGCATGTGCCCAAAGTCCCAGAGAGAGGGAGAAATGGAGAAGGATTTGCATCATGACCATGCCCCATAGGAGGTGCTTTCTCGCTCTCTTTCTCTCTCCAGCAGTTTAAAAGGTAATTAGATTTAGAAGAAGTCATGAAGATGAGGCCCTCATGATGATAACACTTAAGAACATTGCCTCTGACAAATTAAGAAGGAAAAAAAAAAAAAAGTAACCCAATTTGTTAAAATAGGCAAAGGATTTGAATGGACATTTCGCCAAAGAGATGTATAGATAGCTGGTTAACAAGCAGATGGAATGAAAACATATGCCCACAGGAGGACTTGTGTGTGAATAATCACAGGGGCAGTATTCATGATAGCCAAAACCCAGGGGCATTCCTCATGTCTATCAACTGGTGATGGATAAACAAAGTGGTATATATATAGATACACATATAAATTAATGATACCTCGACAAGGTAAAGGAACTGCTAGTACATGCTATAGCATGGATCAACCTCAACACTGTTGCATTAAGTGAAAGAAGTTAGACTCACATTACATGTTGAATGCTGGCCCTGTATCTAATGGTTAAGGGACCCAGATCCCGCATGACCTGCCATAATTCAGATCTGTGCTCTGGCTGCTTGAGAAACTTGTGCATAGGCCAAGATGCTGGTGGGGTGAAGAAATGGAAAAAGGACTAACCATGCCCCACTGAGGAGTGTCTCTCTCTCTCCCTCTCTCTCTCTCTCTCTCTCTCTCTCGCAACTGCATGCACCCTCTGTCAATTAAAACAAGATTTTTTAAAGATTACATGTTGATGATTCCATTTATATGAAATTTCTAGAAAGAGATACAACTATAGAGGAGAAGTCAGATTAGTGGTTACCTGGGGCTAACAGTAGGAGCAAGGAATGACACTCATGGGAACGAGGGAACTGTCTGGTGTGTTGAAAGTGGGCTATGAAGACAGCAACACTATATAAATGTACTAAACATCATTAACTATAATTACACCTCAGCAACGCTCTCTATATTTTTTAAAAGGCAAAAAAAAGCAAACAAATGAACCTGGTGAAATTTTGAATATTCAAGGCAAAGTTGGGATTCTGAGCTGTCTGACAAACCCACGCATATACCACCACCACCTCCTCCCAACAAACACACACAGCACGAATGCCAATGCCTCTCACATGGCAACTGTCACTCAGAAACTTGACTATAAATTTACACAGGATTCTGCAGATATAACACTGCTATTTCTCTCTCTCCCGATTGAAGGACACTATACGGTACTACATAAAGGCTGAGCCTGAGTAATCCATACACAGTGCTCCTCTGGCAAATGGTTACTGATTGCACACGGTTTCACTTCCAGGGCAGCATAGTCTTTTGAACATGGACATGGGACGTTTCCAAAAGCTTGTAATAAGTTGTATGTATGTTGAGTCCTATAAGCAAAAACTTATCTTGTAGACAGGTTCCTTTTCCAGCAAGTGCCCAGACGGAATTTGGCTAAAGACTGATAACTCTCTAAGTCCATTCAAACAAAATTGGAGTGCAAGTACATTTGGAATTACTCGTACCCAGTATTGTACCATGTTTCACACTCAGTACAACTTCGTTCATTAAAGTTAGTGTTGACTTCTCAGTTGTTCTATCCAGCTGGCTTTTCACAGCCCTCATCCTGCCTCCTCTTTCTGAAACATTGAACGTTGTCGAACACCCCTTCCTTCTTGAGATTTGCTCTTCTTTTGGTTTCTGGGACACTGTGCCATCTGGTTGTCCTCCTGCTTCTCCGTTGTGTTTTCATTATCCTTGAAGCATCTCCTCATTCTCTCACCTACTGTATATAGCTTTCTCCAGGATTTTCATCTTCAGGGGTGGCCCCTCTCAATAATTACAGCCATTCCTATCAACCTTCACCTTTGATCTTCTCTGCCTAGGTGGAATAATCAGCATCACCAATTTGCCATGTTCAAAATCAAATTCTTTCCTGCCAAACTGGCAGTTCCTCACTTCCTGACTTCTCTGTAGGGCATCACCATTCTGCAGTTTATCTACTCTTTGCCCTTTTTACTGTATAGTTCTTCAAGTTTCGACAAATACGTGCAGTTGTGCAAATGCCACCATGATAATCAGGATACCGAGCACCCTAGCCCCACATCCTGGAAGTCACTGATTTATTCCCTGTTTCTGTAGCTTTGCTTTTCCCAGAATATCATATAAATGGGATCACACAGTTAGTAGCCTTTTGATTCTGTCTCCTCTCTCTTAGCATGATGGAATTGAGAGCCATTCGTGTCATATCAGCAGGATCAATGTATCAGTAGTTCATTCTTTAATTATTATTATTATGGTAAAAACAATAAAAGGTACCAGCAGGTGCCATGGAAGTTAAGGCACTTGACTCCACAATTCAAGTCCCAGAACCGGTGACTTGAAAATCACGCCAGGTGTGTATATGTATTATAGGTATATGCCCATTCTCCCAAGAGAATGAAGAAGGGATTGCAGTATGGTCATCCCTGGGGGAGGGGAGGGAGGGAGGAGGTGATTTCTCACTTTCTCCTCCCTGACACCTCTGTCTCTGGTGAGCATATGCACCCTATAGCAAAAACTGAAAAATAATTAACATCTTAAAAATGGTTACATTTTAATTGTGTAGTACAACAAGGTAAACAGCATGCACGTTGTTGTGCAACAGATCTCTGGAGCGTGTTCATCTTGCGTAGTCAACCATGGTTCAAGTCCTAAAACTCTATCCATGGAATAGCTCTTCTTCCCCACTTCCCCGCAGCCCTGGAAAGCACCATTCTACTGTCTGTCTCTAAGAGCTTGACTACTTTAGATGCCTCATGTGAGTGGAATCAGGCAGTATTTGTCTTTTTGTGACTGCTTTGTTTTACTTGACACAATGTCCTCTCTTCATCCATGTAGTTGTAAATGACAAGATTTCCTTTTCTTCAAGGCTAATATTATTCTATCAAATGTATATACCAGATTTTCTTTATCCGTTCCTCTGCTGATGGACATTCAGGTTTCTTCCACTTCTTCACTATTGTTGAGTGGTGCTGCAGTGAATATGGGTGTTCAAATGTTCTTTGAGGTCTTGTTTTTAGTTATTTTGGGTACATATCCAGAAGTGGGATTGCTGCATTATGTGATAACTCTACTTTAAATATTTTGAAGACCTTCCATACTGTTTTTCCATAGCAGACTAGTTTATTCCCTTTTATTTCTGACTAACATTCCACTGTACAGATTATACCACATTTTATTCACCCGTTCACCTAGTGAAAGTATTTGGATTATATCCAGTTTTAGGCAATTACTTACACATAATTCTAATGGCTCTGATTTTTGCTTAAAGATTTTTTTTTCCCTGTGGGGTAAATAGTTAGGGGTAAGGCTGTTGGGTTGTAAGATAAGTGTATGTTCAACTTTATGAGAAACTGCCAACTCTTCCAGAGTGACTGTATCATTTTATATCTCTACCAACAATCTATAAAAGTTCCAGTTTTTAGGCATTCTCACCAGCACTTGGCATTGTCAATTTTGGGGGGCTTAACCATTCTAATAGATTGTAGTAGTATATTATTTTCTTCTTCATCTGTATTTTCCTAGTGACTGATAATGTTGAGTATCTTTTCAAATGCTTGTTTACCCTTCCTGTATTTTTCTTTAATGAAATGTCTACTTAGATCTTTGGGTAATTTTTTTTTAAGTTTTAGAATTTATTTTCTGAGTCCTTTGTTATTTTTAAATTATTACACTGTTAGAGCTCTTTATATATCCCAGATACAAGTATGTGTCATCAGATATGTGTTTTTGCAAATATACTTTCTATCTTGTGGACTGCCTTTTCATTATTTTACTGATATCTTTCAAAGAGGTTTACAGGAAGCAGACCATGGCACAACAGTAAGAATGCTGTATAAGCTGACCCACATGGGAGAATCTCAAGTTCATAGCTGGAGACCTACCTGATATACCAGGCTTGCTTGTGTACATGAACCCACACTTGTTGAGGCTGAGGGTAGACTATAGTGTCAATACTCTGTTGAGGTTACCCTCTCTATATATCTTTCTCTCTCTCACTAATGGAAGAAATAAATAAGCTTTCAAAACAGAAACAGTAGGGGAAAAGCAGATGGCATAATGGTTACGTTACTGGACTCCCACAAAGTAGACTGTGGTTCAAATCCCAGACCTGGTGACTTAAAACTCACACCAGGGTGGGGACCAGCAGATGGCGTAATGGCTATGTCGCTGGACTCCCATGTAGTCGACTGCAATTTGAGTCCCAGACCTCAGATACTCTTTTTGAAAACTTATTCACTTGTAATTTAAACGTTCCCTGGTTCTGATTTAAACAGGTTGTAAAATATACGGCTTAATAATTGCCTCCATGGAAATTTTTGCTCAAAACCGCAATAGGCTATGGGGCTGGCCCAAAACTTTGTTTTAAATCAAGAGATGGCACATTTAGAACTCTTAAATGTTTATCCCAGTGTGAACTCAAATGTATTAGGACATTTTTCTCAGGTCACCTAACCTCTCCACATCCCTACGATTTAAGAATACTGATACAGCTGTTCTATGTTAATCTAGTACTCGAACATTTTCAAATCACAGTTCCATTGAAATTAGTTTTCAATAGAGTCATGTTGCCTAGCAGTTTTATTATTTATGATTTTTAATATGAATTTTTATTTATACGAATTTATATCTTTCTTTTTAACATGAACGTTTAGAACATATTCTTTTTTTTAATGGAGAGGTCTTTGCTATAGGGCTTGTGCTCTCACCAAAAAGAGAGAAAGAGACAGAGAGACAGAAAGCGAGAAATCACCCCCCAGGGGAGGTGGCCATGCCACAGTTCCTTCTCCTTCATTCTCCTCTCAGGATCTTGGGCACGCACGCACACGCGCCCGGCGTGAGTTCAAGCCACCGGGTCCGGGACTCGAACCACGGTCAACTACATGGGAGTCCAGCGACATAACCATTACGCCAACTGCTGGTCCCTAGAACATATTCTTAACATTGAATATGTTAAGCCATGCTTGGTTACCAAGATCTACTGATTGTCTCTCCTATTTGTGTGGTCACACTTCTCTCACCTGGATTCTCATTTCCTTTGTTTGACTAGTGGTCCTTTGGTGTGCTCCTCTGGGAGCTAATGACAAGAGGAGCCCCTCCGTACCCTGATGTGAACACCTTTGATATAACCGTTTACTTGTTGCAAGGCAGAAGGCTCTTGCAGCCCGAATACTGCCCGGACCCCTTGTAAGTAGGAATTTGAACATGATCTTCTGTTTCTCTTATATTCTTTACTTTTAGAGAAATATTTGCCCTAAGATGACTCTCACAGCATTTCTTTCTTTCTGAAACAGGTTTGAAGTGATGCTAAAATGCTGGCATCCTAAAGCCGAAATGCGCCCATCCTTTTCTGAACTGGTCTCGAGGATATCGGCCATCTTCTCTACTTTCATCGGGGAGCACTATGTCCATGTGAACGCCACTTATGTGAATGTGAAATGTCTAGCTCCATATCCTTCTCTGTTGTCATCACAGGATGACATTGATGGAGAGGTGGACACCTGAGGGATTGGCATTGCACCAGCTCCCTCCAAGAAACATTATAGTTCTAGACCAAACAGTCCACACTTTACCTAATAGTTTTTCACTGCCTGGCCTTTGGAAGGCCATCTGAGATATTTCGCTTTTACCAAAATGCACTGTTACAGTACTTTATATTGTTATTTAAATTACTGGAATCTAAGACTTTCTCGACTCGCAAAGCATCCAAACCAGAGGCATGGTTCCGTGGGCAAGTGACCAACAGCAACACTTCACTTATAGTGACACTCCTGTCACCCTGCAGTCCAGAACTTAAATTCTGAGTCGAGATTTTGAAAAACCAGAGTCCTCCTTCATTTCATATGGAGAACTGAGGTGAAGAATTTTGACAGCTTCTTGATCAGAGATGAGATAGAAATGTCCAAAAGAGACATGGCAGCCCCAGAACCAGGCCAGCCATTTAGAATTCCAGTGTTTTTAAAAACTTGTGTGTGTTCTATGGTCTCTAACATTTTTCTGATGGATGTTGTCATTTATCTGTAAGATAAACATTCCCTTTTAAATTTTTGTATGCACATTCCATTTGCTGGAGGAATATCCATAGGTAATGCAGTCAGTTTCAAAATAGCATGATACAAAGTATGTTTATAAATTAACAGGGATATTTACATATTGTACATAAATGACATTAAGATTTTCATAAAATAGCTTAGTCACAGTGAAATATTTCATTGTCATTTAAAAATGAGCTACGTGACAATGATACTGCTCTGATCTAATGAATGTGGACATTGAGATGTTTTGTCTGTATTTTTTCTAAATGATGACTCTGAAAATAAGACGAGCAATTTGTGATGCTAAATCTTTTTCAAGGTAACTCAACATGTTTTTAAAGCAGACTACATCTGACTAAAAGGTTCATTGGTTCCAATCGCAGCCCCCCGTCTGGAGCAAAGAAAGGGTCAATGGACTGGAAGTATTAGCCCCTTTCTCGGGCAGCTGCTCACAAACAACTGGAGACAACACTTTTGGGGAGTCTTCTTTTGCATTAGGACATGTTTTGTGTTAAGCAAAACATATATTAAAAACAAGCAAGCCATTGGAAATCCTGGCTATTTTGCCTGGATGAATAAGTCGTTACTCTGCACAGACCTTCTGTGATGTTTGTTCTGTGGAATTTTGTGCTTACTACTGTAGAGTGCATGTGGCATAGGTTACTCTAACTGGTTTTATCAATGTAAACATTTAAAGTATTATATTTTTATAAAAATGTTTATTTTTAATGATATAAAAAATTTTGTCAGGCCACAAAAATACTGCACTGTGAACATTTCAGAAAAGGCATGTCAGACTCGGATCAATGACGGCATGAGTTCAAATGACTGTAAATAGTGAAAAGGAAATGCCAGTACACCCCACCTTCATTATATCACCAGCACTTGAAGCCAAGGGTTAACACAACAAGCTACAGAGTGTATTACACTGATACCCAAGAGTTGAGTTTAGCTGTTGTTGAAAGAAAATTATTGCAACCAAAAGTTCTTTGACGATGGTAGGACTTACCAGAAGACACAAGGAATTGTACTGCAGAGATACTTCAAACATTACTATTTCATAAATGTGAAGAATAATACTAATTCAAAGACTATTATAAATGGTGGATGACAAGAAAAACCTCTGCGGAAAGAAATAACTCTCTACCAAGATCAAGAGAATTAATGTGTCAAAAACAGAAAGTGCTTGCAGAAACAACCCATCAACAGGACTCACCTGTATATACATGCTTGAGAAAACTGCAATGTGAAAATCATGTTTGCTATTTATAAATTCGTCCTTAGGGTAATATTTCTGGACAGACTGTGGGAGTAAGTGATTCTTCCAAGAATTAGATACTTATCACTGCCTATACCTGCAGTTGAGCTGAATGGTACTTTGTATATTAATAGTTGTTGTTCTGATAAGTCGTACAATTAAAATAAAGTGATGAAACATCTTGTATTCTGAGAGTTGGTTATTTCTAGTCATGCTTGATTACTTACTATTTACATAATGACAGAGGAAGCCCAAGATTGATTTCACCTGGCTGCTTCGAGCCCATCCACATCAAGACCATCAGTCAAGATAACGCGTTATCACGTGGCTACGCTGAGCTCATCCACAGCAAGAGCCTCATTCAAGGTAATGCATACGTGGTAGGTAACTGAACTTGCCTTCCTGGATCTCAGGAAGTCTCTGGTTTTCAAGGCTGAATTACCTGTATTTTCTGACAATATTTTAACTGTTAGAGCACCAGGTTCCTAATTTACCATGATGTTCTTCTCCTACAAGGTGTGTCCTTGGACTAGAAGATATGACAATGGAATTGTAACCTCCCGATCCAGAGATATATAGGTGGGGGTGGAGAGAGAGGCCTTCTGACCCACTCAAACTACCCTTACCATAGCCTCCCCCCCATAGAACCCTTAGTTAGAGAAATTACCTTTTGGTTATCTCCATGTATATTCTTGTAATAATAAGACAATTCAAAGAATATTTCAGTCTCTAAGAATGTATAGCACTTTAGAGAAAAATGATTTTTAAAAGACTCAAGTTTAAGCTGATGCCTACATATTATGGTGGTGGTTGATTCTTTGCTGGGATATTATTCAGTCCCTCTACACAAACTATCTGAGCCAAAAGATGTATTTCCATAGGAAATTCAATCAGACTTTCTTTCTCATAAATACAAGAATTTACATCTTTACATCACTAGTATCTGGTATTTAGTAGGTTCTCCAATAACTGTCTAACTGAACAACGTTTTCTTATCCTCAATCACATTAAGCGACTAAGAATGTAGCCCCAGAATGTTTGGTAAACACTGACATAGAGAGGAAAGATCTTTCTGGAAAAGAGATAAAAAGATATCCCTTTGCAAAGATTTGCTTGATGTTTTGAATATTTAATTACCATATAATTTTTCACTTCACAGTGAAATAATTATATTGGATTATCAGAAAAATCATGACATGTGTTTTCTGTTTTTCTATGCAAAAATGGGTCATGACTTTTCCAACAACCCAATATTTTTGCTCTCCGTGACCTACACAGCAAAGTCTATCCTTAAAGAAATATGGGGAAGGAATATAAGACCTTTAAAAGTAAATCAAATAGTTGAATGCTGATGTCTCACATTGCTAATCTACCCAGTTTAGTTCAGGAAATGAGTTTGCATTATGTAAAAGAAATTGATTAGGATATTATTTAAGTTTTTATTGAGTGCCAGGCCCTATACTCGGTAATGGGACTATAAAAATAAAGTCTGAGCTAGTTGGTGACGCGGCGTTTAAGACAACTGGATCTCACATAGCTGACTATGTGGTCCAGGTCTGAAGAACACACTAGGCACATGTACATGGGTGCTCAAAATCTCAAAAAGATGGGAAAATGGAGGAGAGAGGAGTGTGGTATGACCATAGCTCCAGGGAAGTGCTTGCTTTCTCTCCTCTCTGTCTTTGGTGAGCACATGCGCTCTATGGAAAAATTATTAAAAATAATAATAATAAACAGTCTCTCTCACCCTAAGGATTTAATGGCAGAGACAAAAAATGTTACAAAATTAATGAATATTAGACCCATGTATTTCTTAGATATGTAAAATGTCATCACAATTTAAATTTACAAAAAGTTGGGACCGTCAGGTGGCACTCTGGTTAAGGGTGCTGGACTCCCATGTGGTCAACTGCAGTTTGAGTCCCGGACCTGGCAACCCTCCCCCCCCCTCTCTCTCTCTCTCTCTCTCTCTCTCACACACACACACACACACACACACACACACACACCACTGTCCTTCTCTGGTCAAATTAAAATTAAAATAAAAAATAAATAAAGCTAAATAAAATTATTTTTCTATTTTAATAATTATTTTATTTTAATTTACATTTAATCACATTCATCTTTACAGTGTACAACATTGCTTTTTCCAGCATGAATATGATGTATATAGTCAGGATAAAGACGTTACTATATATACTATCATCAGTAAACAGCTTTTCATTTTTTTGTCAATTCAACATACTTTTCCTTTCCCTGTTCCCCTCCTTCCCTCCCTTTATTACCCTCCCCCATATTACCCCTATCTTCACTTTCTCTAATATCTACCATTGCCTTCCCAGCTTCTATATCTTACAAAGTTTCAGTTTCTGCTATAGCACACAGACAATCATATATATTTTTCCCCCACATTTTATTGATTCACAGAATTTCTTAAATAATTAATTACTTTCAATATCAAGCTCTGCTGATATATGCATATCCATGAATACATGTCTTACTTAATAAAATAATTCTTAAAAAACTGTGTTTTGTTGTAAATAAATAAATTTACAAAACGTACAGGCTCTTGGGCAAATAGACTAAATCCTGACTCAATTAGACAACTATTGAATCTCTCTATGCCTGTACCCTCATCTGTCAAATGGGCTAATCCTAGTTACCTCACAGTTTATTGAGGACTAAAAATAGAATGTAAAGTAGTAATGCTAGTTGTTCAACACTCTGGATGTATTAAAAACCATTTTACCATAAAATTTACAATGGTTAAGATGATTAACATAATGCTAAGTGAATTTTATCTTAAAAAGTTTGTAAAGGCACCTGACACACCATAGTTGCTCAATAATTGCAATATTATTAAACTTAGTCTTAAGGAGTAAAAGCCCATGTAAAGGTAGCTTGTGGCTGATTAAGGGTGAAATGAGGTAAAAGGGACCTTATAGATGTTCCAGTACAAATCCTTACCTTATTCTTCATCTTAAACCTCCTTATATGGTAGAAACAGCAGAATTCTACCTTATCCTTGAGCATTGCTGAGACGATGAAGTGGGTGATGAGAAGAGTGACAAGAGAGTGATGCCTTTCTCCTGAGTGCAGAACACTTGAAGGACGCTATTTTCCATCCCCTCTTTCTCTGAACTTTCTACTATTCCTTTAATCACTTCTCTAGTGACTGGTTTCCCTTATTACAATTTTTTTTCTTTCCAAATTTTCTATAGAGCTTATGCACTCCCTGGAAAGAGAGAGAGGGAAAGTGAGAAAGCCCTCCACCCCAGCAGCGTCTATGCCGCAATCTCTTCTCCTTTCTCCTCTCAAGATTTTGGGCACAGGGACCAGCAGGTGACATGGCAGTTAAGCTGCTTGACTCCCACATGGTCGACCATGATTTGAGTCCCAGACATGGCAGCTTGAAAATCATGCTGGGCACATGTGTGTGCATGCCTAAATTCCCAAGAGGAGAATGGAGGAAAGGGGATTGTGGCATGGCCATCTACCCCTGGGGAGTGGCTTCTCACTTTCACTGTCTCTCCCTGTGTCACTAAAGAGGACATGTACCCTATGGGGAAAAAAAGATTGTGGGTACGTGTGCACACATGGCATATTTTTCAAGCAACTAGGTCCAGGTCTCAAACCTCACAATTGTTTTTGTGGGATCCAGCCATCTTAACCACCAACCCACTACCTAGCCCTTTTGTTTTTAACTTTCAGACCTAGTATCCTCAACAGACAGGGAAAAGAACAATCCAGCTAAATTATAGAGATGTTGGAGGAAGTTGCAATGATATGAACCACAGTCCCCAGTATTGATATCTGGAGATTATTATTATTTTTCTCAAATCAATAGTTAGTGATTATTTGGGTTCAGGAAAAAGTAGACTAATTACTATGTTGGTTTATTTATATTCTGTATGTTTGGACAATAAGGAATGCTTCACAAGTATTGTCATCTGCACAGATGACTAGATGTATACAAGTAGTTGCACATGATCCCCTCTTGTGGCATTTTAGACAATTTCATGACAGGAAGGTATGCAGACATTATGCCCCAAAGGCAGAAACACATATTGATAATGTTTCTTTTTATACTTGATACTTTTCTTCAGAACTCTCTCAATTTCCTATCAAAAAATTGGAAAGAACTTCAGTCATAAACCAGTGAAATATTTCAGTTGGTGAATTGAAGGTAATAAAACAGAGGCCTGCCCAAACTGTCTTTTGTTGTAAATTACACCAGAGGTCTAGATTACGTCAGCCAAAGGTATTGATCACAACGCTGAGAGGTTTATAACTACTATTGACTTACCATGTGACCCTGGAGCAGAAAACTAGGAAAATTGCAAAAGCATATCCACAGTAATGAAAAACCCATCATTAATGGAACTCACTATCCTGTCATCCAACTATAATAGTATTATGTTGGCTTCAAGGCAAATAACAAATCCTGAAAACGGAAGGAACTTTCCTCACATTTTTCTTTGAATATTTCTGATCTAATCTGATGAATGTCTTTTTCTTCGTATCTATAGGAAGTGTAGGCCATAAGAAGATGATATAAGTTAATTAGTTATCCGTCCCAAATAAAATTATATTTCAAACATCCAGATGCTGCTAGTTCTTTTATTACTATTATTATTATTAAGAGCTAGATTTCTGTATACACCAATTTAGAATGGAACTCAGGCCCCGTTCTCCTGGATGGTTAAACCCTACCTCATCAAGCATTCTGAAAATGAGGTAGCATTCAAGAAGCAACTCTGAGATGAAAACAGCCCTAGTTAGGATACCTAAACAGAAAATTCTAATTAAAATAAGCTACTAACAACATTATTTTGAGGCATTGGATCTAGACTACAGTCATTTTTATCCTTTTTATAAAAAGAGACCCTTTGTCTGTCTTTGTACATTCACTTTTTCACTGTCACATGGATACATTCTTTTCACCACATGAGTTCCAGGCTGGCAGAAACATCTACTAATCCTTAGACCTCTCAGCTGGAACGACAAAAATGCATAAAATTTTACCAGGCCAAACGAGATCAACTTTAAAAATCTTTGGCATCCAAACATGTCAGAACTGCTTTTCACTGGCTCCCGAACCATTTGTGTTTCTCATCTATGGTCCACGAGATCTGTAATATCAGTTCCTACTTTTATTGAATAGACTGGAATTTTTAAGCCCCATA